AAAAAAAAAAAAAATCATGTGCCACCATTTCTTGCTTTTGCGGTCTATTTCATATAGTCCTTTCAGTTGATCAATCAGTCGACATATCCCATATTCTTATTGTATGAAATAATGCTGTTTGGGCACAGTACTTTTTTTTTGTCTTTCCATCTCGTTCTTTTCTATTAATTTCTTTCATTTCAGTTGCCTTTTCCAAGCAAGACAGGATAGAAACGGATCTTTTATCCTTCCATTTTATGCAATAAATTGAATCATCGCTAACTGAAAAGTCTATATATTCTCTTGACATAAATTTGTCTTTTGGGTAGATACTTCCGATTCATATTTACAGTGCACATGTAGATGGCAGCCACATGCATAGATGGGTCTGTGTCTTTAAAAAGCGAAACAAATTATAACTACTTCCCTTTCTTCTTCAGCAATAACTTCAACCTCAGTTATTCTCTCCTGGATTTCAATTTCATCTGAATCAGAACTGACATCTGAAGCATTTGAGTCGCAATCGGATGGCAATTCAGCAAAAAGATCCAAAGCTTCCTGAGTTGTTAATTTTTTTTCTAGACATTTTAGCACATCAGAGCATACAACGGATGTAAAAGCGCGCGCAATCACGAAAAAAGTAGATGCAAAAAAGAAAAGAAAAAATAATCGTGAGTGCTGCCATCTATTGAGCGGAAATTCAAGTGTGTGGTGGGACAAATTTTAACCCACTTATTTCAACTGCAAAATTAATGTTATAAAATATTGAATCCAATTAAGATTTTTGAAAATAAAATACCTTTGAATATTAAAAAGAATCATACATATCATAAATTGTATACCAAAATTTTAAAAAATATTGAAAAATGCGAGATACATGGATATCACTCTTGTGATCCTATTTTGAATATTTTTTGCTTATAAACTTAAGCCCTGGTATAGTAGTGAACATCTACTGAGAAAAATAATAACTAAAATAGATTATTTTTAAAAGATTAGAAAATTTCTAACGGAAATTGCTAACTGAGAAAATAAATATTAATTAGGTGGGACATATTGACCCACCATGCCGCAAAGGGTTAAGTTGGTATTTATAGGTTAATAAAATTTTTCGAAAATTATAAAAATTATTAAAAAAAATTAAAAAAAAAACAAATGGTAATTTTTTCGATAAATCAAAAAGTTAATAAAAAAGAGATTTAATAATATTGCAAAATAACATGAGGCGCTAAAATTTGAGAGCTAATATTAAAAACTACTCGTACGATTTTTACAAAACTTGGCATTCTGGCATAATTTGAGTCGTAGAATCGGAATATGGAAAAAAATTGGTATGTTATTTCAGAAAAAGTGATTTTGTGTCAAAATACCTATGTTAGAACAGTGTTTGTTATATATAAATCTAATATATACCCTAAGCTGTGCTTTCGAGACATGAAAAATGCAGTCTGAATTTGGCTATCGACCCAGTAGAACGGGAGATATAGCACTGTCCCCCATTCTTTTCTTTTTCTTTTTTTCTTTTCTTTTCTTTCTTTCTTTTTTTTTTTTTTTTTTTTTTTTTTTTTTTTTGAGCAGTGTACATCAAGATCTGAACCCAACATCACCTAATCTTCTGTGAATCACATCCCTGGATACCCTGGGATCCCTGCAAGTGGGCAAATGACATTAAATCAATGCTAGTGTAACTCTTGGTGTAGAGGTGGCATCTCTTCTAATTGAAAAATCATCTCGCACACTGGTCACCCGGGCACATTCCCAAGCCACTTCACCAGCTGACTATGCCTTGATTGAGCCACTGGTTCCAAGAATAGACAATGAATATGCCTTGCGATATGCCTTCAACCAATATGCCTACCGATTCGTCTGTTCGATCAACCAGCCTCTTTTAGCCCTATGATGTGACTCCTCTAAAAGTCTGACAACTGTTCATAACATCGAGTACGTCTTAAAGGCATATTTTCATTATAATGTCGTGTATCCAAGCCATCAGAGCAGTTGTAAATGCTCTTCACTCGCCGCACTGGCCCTTTTACATTCTACCAGCTGCACACTTCAGATGCACAATTAGCCAATTCACATTTGCATGCCACGTTTTGTAGTTGTGGCTCAATTTTTTCCTGGGTACATATATTTTTTGCAACAGAGTGCATTTTATTTATACATACATACATATATTATTTATTTATTTAATATTAAAATTTAATTATTACTTCCTATGAACAATATTTCAATATTATTGTAACTTGTATAAAGTAAATTAATATGCAACTCGGCTAACTATGAAGAATGAAATACAGAAGACAAATTGGACTGATGAATAGTAACTGTTAAAATGTATGTGTGTATTTATATATATATATAGATATATATAGATATATATATATATATATATATATATATATTGTCATAAAAAAAGCAAAGGAAATGACGGAACACTGTAGATGCGTGATTAGATCCATATTGAAGAAGAATTTTGATTACGTAGTATTTAAAGAACTTGGCAGTCGAAGCAGTTTTAATTCCATTTTTATTTCCAATTGATATTTGTGGCCACAATCACTTGGAACTCTAATCGTGCCTTTACACAGAAAATTTACATTTTTAATATTGTTGAGATAGAAAGCAAGCCAGCGAAATTACATCTTAGCACAGTAGAGAGCTAAAGCTGAAGTGCGTCGTTATGAAAGATGGAAGCACGCGAAGAGAAAATTTTTGGTTTATAATTCGGTGATTGGTCGTCAAGAGGCATCTGGAATAAATATGAATCAGAATTATGATATAACTATAAACATTAATTCTTCCTCTCTATTCTAAAATCGTAATAACTTATCTGCATCGCGTCATTCAAATTAATCATGCGATCTTACGTAACCACTTATTCTAGATGCCTCTAGACGACCAATCACCGAATTATAAACCAAAACTTTTCTCTTCGCGTGCTTCCATCTTTCATAACGACACACTTCAGCTTTAGCTCTCTACTGTGCTAAGATGTAATTTCGTTGGCTTGCTTTCTATCTCAACAATATTAAAAATGTAAATCTTCTGTGTAAAGGCACGATTAGAGTTCCAAGTGATTGTGGCCACAAATATCAATTGGAAATAAAAATGGAATTAAAACTGCCTCAACTGCCAAGTTCTTTAACTACTACGCAATCAAAATTCTTCTTCAATATGGATCTAATCACGCATCGACACTGCTCCGGCTTTTCCTTGTGCTTTTATTATGACAATTAAGCCGGTAGGATAGTTTCCTGCAGCCACAAACCTCAATGGAAAACTTAATTCAGCTCTTCAAATCATCGTTTTGTGATAAATCCAAGATAATGTGAAAGAAGTAAATCATCAAGTTTGTTTTTTCAGTGTTTAACAAATAACAGATCATTCTTCTGCTGTGGTGTTTTGCAAGTGCTTCAAAAAAATAATCACACGTAGTGTTTACAGATTGAAAGTAATCTCTCGATAAATTGAGAAGTTCGAATGCCTAGTGAAAAGGAATATTGAATTTGCTTCCCCGATCTCTACAATATTTAGAAAAAATGTGCTTTAAATCATCAGTGAATTACCGTTTAGGAATTAAGCATTACAGCGGTTCAGGTCGATCGAGTTGGTGTTTGCAGTATAAACGACAGAAAATTACTATTGCACTTCCGCCTTTTGTAACAGCTCAAAATTATTACATTCGTGTGAATCTAGCTCAGGAACTCATTATTTAATGTGCTGCGGATTATACTTTCATTTCAACTTGGTTAAAATTTCTGCAATTTGTTTTGAAAAATCTGAATTCTTGTTCATTAATGTTTCTCATTTTCATAATTGTGTGAGCAAATTAAGTAACGAATTTTAAGCTATTTAAATTACTCACAGGAAAGGATATTAAGATAAGTTATTATGATTTTAGAATAGAAAGGAAGAATTAATGTTTATAGTTATATCATAATTCTGATTCATATTCTTACATATATATATATGTTTAAACCTTTGACTGAGCTACTTCTTTTTTTGCCCTTCTTTAAAATAATAAAGAAATAAAGATGTTAGAATACCATTCAATACATTCTATTACGATATATAATTTGCAATAACCTACCAATTGCTTTATCAATTTTCACAGGCTCTGATGCTTCATTCTACAGCAAAAGCAATGTCAAACAAATTTGCTTAGCAAGGATAATTTAAATCAAGTTCTTTTGCAATTAACTTGTCTCTTGTCCAGTTTCATGTTTGAAACTAGATAAGAAAATCATAGTGAGAATAATTTTACTTTATAATAACAATATAATCAAATATTTCCTTTAATCGGCTGGCACAAAAATTTTTGTAAAAAGAGGAAACGTTATGATTAAAATTATAGTCAATGTTTAATAAACCTTACTAAGAAAATGCATCAACCTTTAAAATAAAAATATCATTCTAATAAGGAATGTTTTAACATACACAAGTGATTTGTAATATAATTGTGATTACAAATCATGATCTTCAATGTTTTTCTTTAACTCTTTAGTTCTTTTAACATCTTTTAATAATATTGACAGATTTAAAATAGATTTATCACTGCAGATTAACAAAAAAAATTGAACATTAACAATCATATTTAATCCTCACTCAAAAGAGTCAGAAAAAGTTTAATTTGTTTCTCAAGGCTCTGATTTCTCACTGTAATATTGGTAATGCTTAAAACCCACTTGACTAATTTTGACTTGTACATTCTATACACTATACATCAGCATTTTAAATAGAAACAATTTTTTTCCAGCTCATTAAAACACAATTATGGATTTTCAAATGAATTTTTTCTTTTAGTTATGATTTTAAAAAATCTAATGAAGCATTTTTAGTATTCCTTTAATAAAGCTGCCACCATACCAACTTCTGGTGACATTTAAAATTTCCATCTTATAAATTTAGCAATCAATTTTGCCAGTTATAGCAACTAACCACAAGACACACTTTACAACAAAAGTGCTCATAATCAATATGTGAAAAATTAATCCATATTGTATTTATAAACTTTCACATTAAACTAGAGAGAGATTTATTATGAAAGTCACTGCAAACATACCTTTTGTAGTGCCTACTAAAAGTACGCCAGTTGTATTATCATTTACGATCAAAGGATTCCATGCAACAGCACTTATCACATGACCCTTTAAAATAAAAATAGTAATTTAGACTGACAGCATAATACCACAGTAACACATAAAATGAGTCATGTGAAAAACAATGTGTCATTGTATTTGTTTTCATAATTTTACTATATTTAATTTTAAATACACCTATATGAAATCACAGATAATAAACTTTATCACCATATTTACTTGAAGATAAAACCTTCCTTATGTTATGAACAAATTTTAAGGAATAAAAGTGTTGGTAGATATTTCATGGCATCATAATTTTGATTAGAATTAATAAGTTTCTGATTACAGTGAAAGGCAAGCTACTTAATTATACTTTAATTAAATACAATATTTAATTGCGGTATAGAGAGAAAAACTGGGGAAAATTAACGATACATTATTATTTAATTCTTTTCAAGACACACTGGTAATCTGTATAGTTGATATGCTAACTGAAATTATTCAACCAGATATGGCTGCTATAATATAATAAGAACTGGTTATAAAGTTAGACACAGTAATTACCTGTGTATTTTACTTAGTATTAAAAAGTGTAATTAATCCGTATAGTGAACTTAAACTCTTTTGCTTATTCTGCAGTTTTATTTATTAAAATACCAAATTTTAAGACTCTAAAAAATTTTAGAGTAATATGAGTAAATATAAAATTGTAGAATAATTGGAGTAAATATGATATATCTGATTTAAATTATCAAGCATTTATTTATGTAACAAAAATATTTTTTAATATTACCTTCATTTTGCTGCAATGCTGAGGCTTCTTTGAAGAGTGAAAAAGGTACACATTTTCTGTTGGTCCTTCAATTTCTGGATTAATTAAACTCACTAATAGATGCTTACCCATGCGATCAAGAAATAATTCATATATTTTGACTTTTTCACCTGTGCTTTTTTGCAAATCAATATCTATAAAGTAGAATAAAACTTTCAACTATATTATTTAATGATTTAGAAGGTGAAAATATAGCACTACAAAATGTAACAATAATAAATAATAGATACATTTACAAATAATAAAACATAAAGAAAGCATTTAGTAATCTCTCACATTTTAGCAATCTGGAGATTTTAGTTTGCTTTTATATGGAAAAAAAAAAAAAAAAGGTTCTTACATATTATCACAACCACCTTAGAGGAAGTCACCAAATTTTCAGAATGTGACAAACTCTAACAACCTTATGCATAACCATTCTTCAGGCAACCATGCTCATAACAGTCCTTCAGTCAGACAACTTTTCCTCAAGCATTCTTTTTGTTGTATTCAGTTTCAATGGTTTTAGACAAATCATAATATTTTTTTGTCTTCTACTCTAATTTAAAATATTGCTTGTGGAATATGTCAGCAATGGAAGAAATGACAATAAAAGTTCTGCAGAAATATAATATTTAACCACAAAATCGCTAAAGAGAATAAAGATGAGATGAGTTTGGTGGATAGCTGATATCCAGTGTCAAATTTGTGCAATTCTTTGGTGTTTTTACAGCAAAAATGAATTGCAGTGCACATGGAAAGAAGAACAGTACTAAAAATTTTATGAAAGATTTCATGAAAAATGTGATTTATTTTTTAATGCATCATATAATCCTTACTTAATAATTAAAATATTTTTTCTTTTGATATATTGATAATGTTTGCTTGCATACTATTACTATTGATAGTTTGAGAATGTTTTTAAAAAAAGTCGTGAAAATCAACTTGCACCCAATACATAGTTATTACCTTCCATCTGTAAAAGACTGCCAAATTGCACTAATGTGGTTGCATTGATATATATGAACAGGAAAAAAATTTAAAAAGCAATATTGTATTTATTGGATAAATTAATCTTTATCAAATTCACTTACCCTTAAAAAAATTATAAAACAGATAAATGATGAAAAGCTTTAACAAATGTATTAATAGAGCATAAAAAGTTGAAAGTTATATAAGGTATTCATGAAAGGTGGCTATAGTCTTTATTTTCTCTAAATTCTTAGTTCTAGGCATTACTTAATTCTAGGCATTTACTTCCACTACAGAGCTTCTCTACCTAAGGTACAGAATTTTACGAGAACAGTTTCAGCACTAGTATTATAATAGCTTTGAAAATACAAAACTTAACCTTTTTATATATCCTCACAAACAAAGAACAAAAACTACAATTTAAAAAAAGTTAATTACATTTTAATATGCTAAATAAAAAAAAAAAAAAAACTGAATAGCTTTACAAGTAAAAGTTAAGAAGAAATTAGAAAATAAATTTAATAATTTAGATCACTTTTCAAAACATACCTTTAAGTGAAATTAAATACCGTCTGAATTTTCACTAATCCTCAGCAACTACTAAATAAATGACAATTCACAAAATCATATTGAGTAAATCAGCACGGGACTAGTGTATATCAGAGGTGGGCAACTTTTAAGCATGAGTCAAAAAGATCGTTTTTAAAACTGTAAGTTGCAGTGGCACTCATGTAATGATCTTTTATGGTGCCGCTATTGTTTTCCAGGATGTAATAGCACATCTAGTGTTCTCAACTTATGTTGACTGCAAGTACAGTCATGTCATATACACATATGCATTGGAATAATAGATATGGACTTGTGCTGCTGATTTCACTAGTTCACATACAAAATTGGGTAAGAAAAAATGAAAATATTGTTACACATAATTTCATAATGGGCTGGTTTAATCAATGTAAAGGATCCCATTGGGCCCAGAGGCTGGCTTTTGCCCATTCTTGCTGTATAGTGATATCAATATTTTCACAAAGAGACATTGCTATGAAAGTGCCACAACTATCCTAGTTTTTAACTAGAAAGTATCACTTATCATACATCACCGAATTCTGCATATAAAGGTGTTTACAGTTAAACTTAAGTTCCTTTCTAACTGATTTTCTTAATCTCTCTCGTTATGACAAATATTGTCTTCAAAACTCATTACTTGCATGGTTTCAATAACTCAAATATTTAAATCAGTATAATACACTGATTTTCAAGAACTCAGCTCTGGCAGTGGGATTACAGAATAGAAAATTCATACAACAATCCTTCAGTCAGCTAAATGGGTATTCTTCTCAAGCTAACAGCTGCTAAGGTAGCTATCGCAGTATCCTCTTTCTAAATTGTGCTTGTCATTTAAATTCTGATTAATTTACATACCGGTGAAAGCTGACAAAAGAAATAGATGGTAATAAAAATAATGCATTAGAGCTAAACTAAACCTTATTAAGATATGAAACTTCTTGCCTTTGATCTATTACAGCATAATGAACACTTTTTCTGTTGCCTTTCTGTTCTATATGGACTATATAAAAATAAATAAATAAATAAAAAATAAATTAAATTTTGTCCTTTCAAAACTATTCCACCCCTAGTCCTGAAACTATTCTCATAAAATTCTCTACATTACTTAGTGATGCTTTGCAACTATAAGTATATGCGTAGAATCAATAATTAAGGAAATAAAATCTATAGCCAGTGTTCATTTCTTTTGTGAAGGGGGGCGGAAACTGGGTTCTACACTCATTAAAAAATCAATGCTACCATTCAGGGCAAGACATTTATTCCTACTCACTATACATATACTATGATACAGAAAAACTGGAAGGATTATACAGCGCCCTCTTACGGCGGGCAAAGGATGGCATAACACACTGGGCCCCCATGACCCCATCCTCAGCTCAACTAGAAATATAATGCAACACATAAAAATTAAACAAACTGTAAATAACATAATAAAACATGGAAAGAAATAAATCAATCAGTCATTTATAGGAAGTCTGACCAGTTTATAGTCTTTTCATTTCACTCGACACAGTTTTTAAGTTGACTGACCTTACTCTTTGGTCAGTTCCCTTATAAGTGCAAACTACTTTTGCCATCTTCTACTTAAGTGATGGCAAGTTCTCATCCTTGATGAGCACCAAGTTCATTCAGACATAAATCGTCACTGGGAAGTTTCCACTTGTTACACGCTTGCAACTGAGTCAAATAGTCCTTTGACCACGATTTCCAAAATAATTCGGAAATCTGTGTGACTAATTTCCATTCACGGATGGGAATTTTCTCATTTATTACATTAGGCTCAGGAACACTTTTTAACTCAGAACTGATAATAAAGTGACCGGGAGTAATGACAAAAAAATCATTTGGGTCCTCAGAAGCAGCCACTAAAGGATAGGAGTTAAGTATGGCTTCAATCTTCACTAGACACGTTGAAAATTCTTCTCGTGAGAGGATCTGCGATCCTATAACACGTCTCATGTGAAACTTCATGAATTTAATTGCAGCCTCCCATAGGCCTCCAAAATGAGGGGCTGATGGAATATTCCTTGTCCATTTAACACTTTCGTTGGTCAAGTAAGTACACCAAGTGCCTCTTCATACACGCTTTTAAGTAAATCTTTGCACCAAATAAAGTTCGTTCCATAATCACTGAATATTTCAGCTGGCTTTCCTCATCATCCTATGAATCATTTCAGAGCTGCAATACATGCCCGAGCACTAAGATCACTAACAAGTTCTAAATGAACGGCTTTCGTTGCAAAGCATACAAACACACATACATACATTTTCAGTGGTTTAACGCCTCTACCACGTCTAGGGCTGATGAAGAATGGTCCTGAAAAGTCAGTTCATGATCTAAGAAATGGTCTTCTGGGATTCACTCTCACAGAAGTTAAGTCAGCCATCATTTGTTTCGAAAGCTCAGAGAAAAATCTGGCACAGATAACGCACTTTCTTATTTCTCTGCATATTGTAGTTTTTGCTCCTATAATCCAATACTGTTTCATCGCAGAGTCAACTAATTGTACTCCTCCATGCATATAATTAAGGTGATAAAATGTCACTAACAATTTTATAACAGGATGATTCTTAGGTGATATTATTTGATGTTTCACAGAGTCTGGTAAGCTGGCATTTCTTAAACATCCTCCTATACATAGTATGCCACTGTTGTCTAAGAACAGATTTAGAAAAATTAAAGAACTTTTCTTTAACACTCTCGTTTTCTCTAAAGTAGCTATTTCCTTTTTATACTCCATTCTTTGGACTAGTCTGATTATAATATCATGTGCTCGATCTTTCCTGAATTTCCACAACCCGGCTAGCAACAAACTGTTTCCATCTCTTCGCACTTCCCTTCAACCAATGCAACGTAATACAAGAATCACTCCAAAACACTATTCTTCCAATTTTATCCTTGAAAACATTTTTAAGGTAATTTCCCACTCTAGCACCTATTATCAAGGCCATTAGCTCCAACCGTGGCAGCATTAGTTTCTTTAACGGTGAACCTCTATTCTTCGACATTATAAAAGATACTCTGTAATTCCCACTATTCTCACAATATCTAAAATAAACAACAGTTCCGTAAGCATTCAGTGAAGCATTGCAAAACACATGTACTTTCGATTGCTTATTCTCTCAATCCAAAAAACAATATCTTGGAATAGTTACATCTTTTAATTTTCCAGTTTCATTACACCGTTATCCACTTTTGCTGCAAGTCCTCCGGCAACTCTTCGTTCTAATCACACGCTCTCTCACAAATTTCCTGTAACAATAACTTTATACGTATCACAAATGCAATCAAACCAATAGGATCAAAGATTCTTGCAGCTGTCTGTAAAACACATCTTTTAGTGCTTTGCAACGTTTTCCACGAATCCACCAAACCCTTCACCTCCAACGACAACTCATCTCTATCAGGATTCCACTTCAACCCTAGGACTTTCAGCTGTTGAACTCCCACTATCTCACTAAGTCCATTTTCTATCCACAATTTTTCTAATTCTCTACTGTTCGACCTCAGTTTCCTCAAATTAAATCCACCACTCTTTACTATTAATACAGCATCTGACGACAACTCAAATGATTCTCTCACACTGTCTCCAACATAATATAAATCGTCTACATA